AAAGAAGCACATTCTGATCAGGTAGCCAAAGGATCAAGACCAAGCAATTCACCACATGTCATCATATGTACCGGCTTCGACAAATGCAGCATTCGAGTTGAGAGGAAATGAGAAACTTGTTTCATTGTTGGACGAGATTTCGGGCTGGAATTCAAGCATGAAAATGCTATCTTCAAAAGAGAGACCACTTCGCTTGCAACTTGATGTGTATGAGGGGAAATGCGTTGGTCCAAAACATCCACAATTGGTATTTGATGGGTTGGTAATGCAAATGATGATGAGGAGGAGGATGAAGAGACTGATGAGAAAGATGAGAAAAGATCTCCAGGATGCTTTCCCATAATTATTTCCAATGTGACCACACCAAAGCTATAAACATCGCAGTTCTCATTCACTTCCATTGTGTAAGCAAGCTCTGCTCAAAGAAAACCTCAGAGAAGTGGCATTATTAGTTTATAGACATAACTATTCAATGGAATTTTAACGAAATTGTATCATGCATAAATAGAATTATTAGTTTATAGTCATATTTTCTAAATCAAAGAAGTGGAAATGTGTTTATGTTAACCGCTCCTAAGGATGAAAATGAAGCATTGGTCTAAAAGCAAAAGCATAAAAAGTGCTAAATACAGATAACAGGGAATCACAATATTACCTGGTGCCATGTAGCCATATGTGCCTACAGCCGCAGTCCAATTAGTTGAGTCTGGATTTAAAAACTTAGCAGTGCCAAAGTCTGAAACATAGGCCTCATATTCAGAATCCAACAAAAGGTTCTTGCTTGAGATGTCACGATGTACAATCGGTGGCAAGCAATCGTGGTGCATGTAAGACAAGGCATGAGCTAAGCCTTTAACAATATTCACCCTTTTACTCCACCCCAACTCTTTAGCTTCTTCATCTTTGCTCAACATTGCGGCCAAGCTACCTCTTTCAAGATACTCGTACACCAAAAACGAGTGTCGTTTATGTGCGCAGAAACCATAGAGCTTCACAATATTCCGATGTCTTATCTCACTGAGTGCCCTTACTTCATTCAAGAACTCTTTCTGAAATTCTGTCTCGCCATCCCATTGCAGATGGAGTTTCTTCACGGCCACTACGTCTCCAGATGACAAATTCACTCTATAGACGCTTCCATGTCCTCCCTTCCCAATGCAATATGTGGAATCAAAATCTTCTGTTGCCCTTATGATTTCGTCATACATTGATTTTCCATCAAAATTTAAAACCGAAAAGGAAATTTCTCCATGCATGTTGTTTTGTTTAGTATCTTGATGGTTCTTCTTTCTTTGCACTATTACAAAGAAAATTGAAAAGAGAGCAGATAGAAGTACAAATACTGCTAGAACAGAGAATATGACCTTGTGGTTATTTTTTGAGCCATGTGCATTGCAGGGTGGCAGCAGGGCTCCAACTTTGCCACACAATCCTTTGTTCCCTTTCAATCTTTCTAGCGGAGCTTCTCGAAATGCACTGATGTTGGGAAGGGGACCTTCCAAGTGATTGTTGGATATGTCAACGTACGACAAGCCGTGCATCTCTTCGAAACTTGATGGTATGGAACCTGAAAGATTGTTGTGGGAAAGATTGAGTGCTACCAAACTCTCCATATTTCTCATTTCTGAGGGTATGCTACCTTTAAGAGAGTTATGACTTAAATCCAATTCGTTCAATTGAACTAAGTTCCCCAACTGAAGTGGAATTGCTTGAGATAACTTGTTGTTGCTCAAATTCAGATGGTATAATTTGAGCAAGTCACCTAGAGTGCTGGGAATTGAGTCACTGAATTTATTTGTTGACAAGTCAAGATAATCAAGATCAGTCAATGATCCGAATTCAGAGGGTATACGACCCGAAAGTTGATTTCCATTCAACATCAACCTCTCCAAAGAAGTCAGTCTCCCAAATTCCATTGGAATCAACCCAACTAAATGATTTGAAGAGAGATCTAGCTCATGAATTTGGGTTGCATTGCCTATCTCAGGTGGGATGCTCCCAGTAAGGTTGTTTCCCGCAAGTCGTAGGGTTGTCAACTTTGGGCATTTTTGCCAATTGTGTGAGATTTCTCCATACAAGTTGTTATGGCTTACATCTATAAAATGAAGATTCGAATAAATGCCAAAGTCTTCAGATATATTGCCTGTCAATTGGTTATGTTCAAGACGGAGTCTGACTAAGCTCGTGCAGTTTTTCAAGCTTTTGGGGATTAGACCAGTCAAATAGTTTTCCCCTGCTGTAAAGTTTTTGAGTTTTCCACCTTGGCAAATATTTGGGGGCAAATAACCAGACAATTGGTTTGTGGCCAACTGTAGTTTAGTCAAATTCTTGAGATTCCCTAACTCTTGGGGAATGGAGCCGGAAAGTTGGTTATCCCGTAGATGTAAGATTTCCAAGTTGCTCAAGTTACCAAATGAAGCAGGAATTGAATCGTGCAATTGATTGCTGCTCAATTCTAAGTTCACAAGAGATTTCAAGTTCCCTATCTCCTTTGGAATCAAACCAGAAAGTTGATTGAAATGCAAGCACAAAGTGTTTAGGTTTATTAAGTTACCAATATTTGGAGGGATGAGACCACTTAAATTGTTGGCTGACAAATCTAGAAATACTAGAGATTTCAAGTTCCCTATCTCCTTGGGAATCAAACCAGAAAGTTGATTTTTACCCAAGTACAAAGTGTTTAGCTTAATTAAGTTACCAATAGTTGGAGGGATGAGACCACCTAAATTGTTGTAGGACAACTCTAGATCTACAAGAGATTTCAAGTTCCCTATCTCATTGGGAATCAAACCAGAAAGTTGATTGGAATGCAAGTACAAATTGTTTAAGTTTATTAAGTTACCAATATTTGGAGGGATGAGACCACTTAAATTATTGGCTGACAAAGCTAAAATTACAAGAGATTTCAAGTTCCCTATCTCTTGATGAGGAATAGAACCAGAAAGTTTAGTATCATAGATATAGAGATGGGTAAGGCTTGTTAGATTGCCTAGTGATCTTGGAATTGAACCATTGAGTTGATTCTTATACAAATATAGACCCACAAGAGATTTAAGGTTGCCTATCTCTTCAGGAATTTCCCCCAACAAAGTATTTTCATAGAGACTAAGAAACCTAAGATTACTTAGGAGACCAATTTCTGGCGGAATTCTTCCAGACAAGTTATTCCGAGAGAGATTAAAATACTGGAGTTTGGAGAGGTAACTGATTTGAGGTGGGATGGCATCAAAGAGTTTGTTCAAGCTGAGGTCAAGATATTCAAGATTAGGGAAGGACAAGAATGAAAATTCATGTAGCGTACCTTGTATACCCCTATTGAAAAGATCTATCGTGCTGACACTTCCAGCTGCATTGCATGAAACACCAGTCCATGTGCATGGGCTTGTTCTTGGTTTTGGATTGTTGCTGGAAGAATTGGTGGCATTAATATTATGAGTGGGAGGGTCGTACCAGGTGAGGTTATTGAGGGCTTGATTTTGAAATAAGCTGGCTTTCCATTTGAGAAGAGCCTTTGCTTCAGTATTAGAAGTAGAAGTAGCAGAAAGAAAAGCAACCCAATTTGGTGATGAAACATACAACAAGATGACAAGGCAATAAGGCAGGAAGCATAGGTCAGCGGAAGTTAAAGATGTCATGGTTATTGTTTGTCCGGTGTATGTATATTGTATGGGTCGTGCCTTACTTATATAGTGTGGGTTAGTCTTTGGGGTTCAGTAGTTGAGAATTGACAAGTCTTTGAGAGCCTGTTCCTTGTGCTCTTGATTTAGTTGTGTGAGAACCCGTGGTTTTCTTATGGGTGTGTAGAGAACTGATTCTTGGACCTCATATTCACACCTGAATGTCGAGGGTTCCTCGATTTTGATGTTTTGGGGAGAAAAAATATATTGGAATTACTGAAATGAAATTGATGGAAAGTGAGAGGTTACTATTTGCGTGACATACGGATTCAGAAGTGTCCCATCTGAATGTCACATGGTGGGTAACAAGCTTCAACAAATGCAGCTTCCGAATAGAAAGGTACTGTGAAGGATTTTTGTCAAGAATTGATCTTTGAATTTTCAAAAGTCCTCATTCGAATTCTCAAATTTTCAAATCAATAAATGTGATCCCAAAAAATGTACATAGGAATAAGAATGGGTAATTGATGGTTTTTTTTTTGTTTTCATGCATAATTGACAAAGACTTAAATCCAGCCGGACTCTCGTGTTCAAAATAACGATGGTGCTATTTTGTGAATTGCATTTAGGGCTCACTGTATTAGACATGCGAGTCATATTATAGATCACGATAAAGTGAGATGTCTCTTCGTAAATTTTTATTTAATTTTTACTCCTTAATTTGTTGGAGAGAATCGTATTATATATCACGATAAAGTGTGATGTAATGATACAAATTCAATCAAATGATAATCCACATTAAATTTAAATTCTTTTTAGTTAAGTATAGTACAAAAGACATTCCCATTATATGTAGTGGCAGATTTAGAAATATTGTTCAAGGGTTGACGTATAAATAGTGGTGGACGCAGGATTCTCGGGCCAAGGGGTCACAGTGTAAAAGCATAGAATTTTTTTTTACTACTTTCATTCAAATCTCCAAAAATTAAGATACGAATATGACACCTATATGACAATTAAAATAATATATTTATTAATTTTTATAAATTATTATTGTAAAACGGGTTAAAACTTTTAAAACAGTCACAACCGTACAATTTATATAGATCATCCTTGTAAAAAAATTAGACAAATTGGAAACCGTTTCGACATCCAATTGTATCCTACAAAATCAATGTATACAGTGCTTCAAGAAAGTACTAAAATTTCAATAACACAATTGAGTGATCAAATGATATTGGATTCAAGTGAGTTTTTGTAGAGACGATCTTTGAATGATTATCTAAAACATAAACGGTTTGTATTAATGAAATACAATGCGTAGTAGGCCCTACAAAGGTGTCCCTCAAATAAGTTATTTGAGGGATCTCTCAGTAGAAGCTGACTGTATATATATAATTAATATTATATGTTAGAGAAAAAAGAATATATAAACTTGCTGGGATGGGACGACGTGGCAATGCTGGTCAATAGGTGCACTTGAAGTGAAGATACCTAGAACGAGGGGCAGGTGTTGATAAATGTCAAACTTTAACCACCCGTCCAATGAAAGCATTGATTGTCCCATAAAACGTGTAAAGACTTTACCAATATATTATAAGATACATGAATTTTATGATCTTTCACACGTCACAAATTGAATTGTTACATGTCTCTTGGCCTTTTTTTTTTTTTTTTTTTTGATGAAATG